GACCCTTCTTCAGAAAAAGAAGGGTCTTTTCTGAAGAAGGGTCTAGGTCCGAAACGTCAGCCTTCCTGCTCCTCTGATGCTGCTTGGCCTGCTGTGTTCATCCAGCTCTACACCTTGTTATCTCAGATTCGCCAGCATCTGCAGTTCCTACTATCTCTTAAAAGGTACTGTGTTCGCTGACAACTTTTGATTGTAGCTCACTGTGATCCCCTGGTGGCAGAGGTGCTGAAATGCAGGCACACATGCCAACTCCGTGTACAATAATCTCCTCACCTGAAATTGCAACAAGGGACGTATTTTGATTTTTCTTTTTCACTCTTTTCCAGGCTATCTGATTTTAATCTCCCAGGAAGCTCTGTTCAATTATTGTTGAGAAATATTATCGCTAATTTGGAATAAAATCTGACACCAGCTGTTGAGGTACGAGCTTCACATGTGGACTAATTGGGTTCTATTTTTGGTCACTTTCTGCAGCGTCCCATCACCCATGTCGATCAGGTGAATTTCTCTGCAACAGTGGGCTCTGCATCAACGCTGGCTGGAGATGTGATGGTGACTTTGACTGTGACGATCAGTCCGACGAGAAAAATTGCAGTGAGTTTTCTTTTTTAACATTGACCTTCGTCTGAACGAAGATCGCAAACATTGTTCTGACGTTTGGCACGAGTAACCAAACGAGAAGTTCTAATTCCTGTAAGACTATGGGACAAACCTGCTGTGTTGTCTATTCTTACCCCAGCTGCCTCACAATGTACCACAGACCAGTTCCGCTGCAAGTCAGGCCGTTGTATCCGGTTGTCTTGGCGATGTGATGGAGAGGACGATTGCTCTGACAACAGTGATGAGGAAGACTGTGAGAAAACAGGTGACGGTGGGGATCGTGCAGTAACATTTGCGGTCAACTGGTTCTGAGACTAGCAGAAGTAGTAACAGGAGAGAGCCCCTGGGCTGCTACAGTCAATCTCAGCACAAACTTGAGGACTGACGCCTCCTGGACTCAACATTGAGTTCAACAGTTCTAGATGCTTCAATCTCACAGAAACTAGGAGCAGGAGTAGGCCATTCAGCCCATTAGCAGCCCCTGACATTGAACATAATGTCATAATTCCACTTTCTTTCCAGACCCCTTGATTATTTTAGTATCTGAAAATCTATTTTTAATTCTAAAATGGATTCAGTGATGTGGCCTCCACAATTTTCTGTGGTAGATAATTTCACAGATTCACCTCCTTCTAAATGAAAAAATTCTTCTCATCTCAGTCCTCATTCTTGCACACACCACACACATATCTCTCTCTCTCTCACACACACACTCACTCACACACACACACATCACACACATCTCTCACACACAGTCTTGCACACACCACACACACACATATATCTTTTTCACACACATCACACACATCTCTCACACACACTCTTGCACACACCACACACACATA